TTTTATTGAAAAAAGTTATTAAACTAATAAATTTATGAACTGCTCGGACGCTCAGGTATCATGTACTCCGTGCGCTTCCTATCACCAGTCATATCCTCTGCATTAGGAAGTGTCTTCTTGTCTCTGCACACAAGCTTAACAAGTTAATATTCAAGTTGTCATTTACTTTTTGTTTAACAAATTTTAAATTATCTATAACATACAAAACTACAAACGCAATTGATTTGTTTGACACAGAAACTTCTTTAACTCCTAGTCACCCAAAATGGATTGGAGCATGGTGGCTCGGCTTTGTAATTTGTTTTCTCATTAACACCATCATTTCTCTTCCTACATTTTTCTTGCCACAAACATTTGAAAACTCTAAAAAGCTCGAGCATCACACAAAGGGGTCTGAACAAAATTTAGACGATAAATTTAGTTCGGCTAAAACAGCTTCGAAGGTGTACCACGGTAAAAATCTTGAAAGTACGAATCAAGTTTATTCATTTCTCAGCAAAATATTTTTTGTTATTGTATATGTGGATGGAAAATTTTTGTCAAGTAGTTTTAAAATGTGTAATTTGTATTATATTTTCAAAAAAAATTAATTAATTATGATAAAAAATTAATGTTTCAGATTTTGGTTTGGCGTTGGGAAGGTTGTTGCGCAATCCAATTTATATGCTGACGACACTAGGAATTTGTTTCGACTGCTTCATCATCCCTTTCTATAACTACCTCCCAAAATATGTCGAGGTGCACTTCAAGCTGACTGCTTGGATGGCAAGCATTATTGCAGGTTGCATCAAATATATTCTATTTTCATGTCTTGCAGGATTTTTTTTTATATTATTGACAGTGATGTAAATTATTTTTCCATCCAGTTATGGTTCCGTCAATTGCCGGTGGCATATTTTCATCCGTTGGAGGATTTGTTATTGGAAAATTTAAACCGTCCCCAGATTTTCGTGTTACTAAAAATATGGCTTTCTCGTGCGTAATATCTTTTGGGAGTGTTTTGGTGTTGACTGCCATCCTGTTCCTCCAGTGTCCTAATGTTAACTCTCCAAGCGGTTACTCAGAGATGACGAAAAGGTTATTAATTTTTCAACAAAATAACAAGATAAATAACGTTTAGTTAAATAGTAATGATTGTCTTTTTCCATATTAGAATCAGTTTTTAAAAATTCTTCCTCACTGTTTCTATAAATTAACAGCATAACATGCTTGAAGGCGTTTGATGACATTCTTTAATAAACTATGGTCCTTAAAATAGTTTTTAAACTGGAACGAATCACTGGAACGGATATTAATTATATTAGACTTTAAAACTAATAAATTATAAAGTTTTGTAAAATCAAAATTTGAATTATACAAAAAATGATAACTCAGCGAAATCTGGAAGGTGGTTTTGTCAAACGCTAGAGCAGTTTTTAAGACTTAAGAGGCCTATCAATGTTACTTTTATCGAAAAAATTCTTATTTGTTTGCAAATTTAAAAAAAATCAATAACCTAACTCTGCATCATAAACATATAGTGTTAGTCTAACTCAGACGTGTAACATGAACTGTTCGTGTCTTTCGGATTCATTCGATCCGGTTTGTGGGGACGACAACATGTGGTATGCATCTCCGTGTCATGCTGGTTGTTCCAGCTACGCTACTAATGGATCTATGGTTTAATAAATTTATAATAAAGAAAAAATTGTTTTTGAAATAAATTCAATTTGAACCGGCCCAGATGTACTCGGATTGCTCGTGCATAAACAGTGTGCAGCAAACAGCCGGGCGTGGCTATTGCGACAATTCCTGTTTTCCCATTCTTATTCTGTATACAATTGGATGGATTTGTTTCTGTTCTTTTAGCAACCTAATCAACGTTCCTCTTACAAATGTGACACTCAAGTAAGTTGCAGGTCGCAAAGGTTCACAATCAAATTTGTTTCCTTTAATTTAACAAATGAATGAAATGAATGATTAATAGATCTGTGGACGAGGAAGACAAATCATTGGCACTGGGCTTGCAGCTCATTATCATCTGTGTGTCAGGTAAGACATGAGATTATTTTTGTGAAATACTTTAACTTTTATAAAATTCTGCTCATAGAAAATCATTAACAAGTCGGCTGTAATCACTTGTTAACTTTGTTTGATAAGCGTTATCTTGGATCTTTAATTAAATAACCATTGACGAATGATATGCTTTCATGGATGCTATCCACAAATGAAACTTATAATTCCAGTTTTTCCGTTCACGCTGATATTTGGCCACATGATAGATTGGACTTGCATCCTGTGGAAAACGACTTCATGCAGCGACGCGGTGGGCTCCTGCCTGGCGTACGACCATTCCAAGTTTAGATTCATCATGCACGGAAGTGTTGTTTGTGTGCGCATTATCGCTTGCGTATTTTACATCTTGAGTTTCATTTTCGCTCGGAGAAAACTCAGCAGGTTGCAGTTGGAAGAATTGAAGAACTTGGATATTATGAACATTACTCCTCACACTGAAAAATAATCTTCCACAAATCTTGAAAGACAATAATTACGTAACAAAGTCATAATTTTTATTCAATTTACTTCCATTTTTGATTTTTTTAGATCATTTTGAATTGTTAGCTAATTTCTCATTAGCAAAACATTACCAAAATACTGTCAAGCGTTATTGCGCTAATGGGTCACACACACACACACACACAAACATAGAAAGTATATACATACGATACGATAGGATCTTTTATTTACTCTAAAAAAATGAAGCCAGGATGACTATGAAGTAGGGATGCACCGGATTCAGGTTTTTCAAATCCGGCCGGGGCCGGACTTGGCCGGATTTAAAATTCAAAAACCGGCCGGGTTAGTTACCATTTTACATACGTTAGAAAAAATACTCACATGTTGAACACCAAAAAATAACACCAAGCAAATAGTTAATTAATTCAAATATATGAATAAGCTGTGTGATACGCCAAATTCTGTACACAAAGATCAGCTTTATGCATAACCCATGTTATAGCATAAAGAAAATTGTCCAGCTCATCTCATAATTAGTGATGTTGTTATTATGTGTCATGTATGCACGTGCACAAATTCTTTTACACAAAGATCAGCTTATAATTTATGCATAACCCATGTTATAGCTCAAAGAAAATTGTCCAGCTCACCTCACAATTAGTGATGTTGTTATTATGTGTCATGTATGCCTAGCCTAACCTTTAACATACCATGTTCTTAAATTTTGCGCTTATGTATCTCTATGTATATATATATAATGTAGCTATATGATCCGTCATATACAATTATATAGTATAAACACGTGCACAAGTTCTTTTACACAAAGATCAGCTCATAATTTATGCATAACCCATGTTATAGCACTAAGAAAATTGTCCAGCTCATTTCACAATTAGTGATGTTGTTATTATGTGTCAAGTATGCTTAGCTTTTAACTTATTGACATAAAATTAATTGAACTCAATGAAATTTTTTTTTCTATTTATAACATTTTTAAATGTCGATAGACGCTTAAATCCGGCCATAAATCCGGCCATCAAATCCGGTCGGGGCCGGATTTGATAAAAACGCCGGATTTTGGCCGGAGCCGGGGCCGAACTTCGGTGCATCCCTACTATGAAGCTCATAGAGAGCTCATCTAGCATAGCCGCTTGAACCCAAATGCAAACAAACTAACGTATGCCAAACAGAAAGTAATGAGAAATTTGAATTAAATGAAGCAGTATCTTTTTTTACATATTTCTTCCGTCATTAAAATTTAACAAAACAATTTTAAATTTTTTTTGAACATAGTAAGTGATGTTTCATTTCAGGTAATATTATTATTTCAAACGTTATTCCAAATTCTTGGTCCTCTACATACAACATGAGAATGCAACAAATTCGTTCTCAAATTGTTGGTCATCAAATAATTGACATAACTACGTTGTTGACTATTTTAAAACATTTTGGAAAGATGCTTTTAGACAAAAATGGCTGGGAAATATTTACTGATTTGATAAACATATACTGAGTGATATAATTCGTCCATCTGTTGTTAAAACTGGGATCGAGTGACTGCTTTGGCATTAGTGAAACATCACGAAAGTTTTAGCAAGGTCGTCACTTCTGCACTACTATGACCAACCACTGCAGCGTTTCATAGCAACATATGCTTATTTACGAGAGATGCATCGTAACTATGGACCGTATAACGGACAGGAAAAATTTTCAATTAATGGAATATTGCCTTTACAAAAAATCATCCTAACAAAGAAGTGGTTTCATTTGTTAAAAGTAGACTAATAAAATATAAAAAAGGAAAGTGTTCAATAAATTTGAAAGTTTTGTTGAAATAAAATTAAATTTAAAAAAAGAAATTTTAAAAATGAATAAAACATCTGTGCTGCAAATTACTTTTTAAAATACGTTTATCCAAATTCAAAAATAATATTGTTGACTATACGTGCCGTGTAAAGTAACAAAAACCATATAAAGAGATTAAATATTATGTTTTAATTTAATGAACTTGAATGATTATGGACGCACTTCTCAATTGATACTTCATCAACAGAATGCTTTCTTCTTCAAACTCAGCGATAGGTTTCAAAGAATTCGACTTAAGAAAATAATGGTAGATGATTTTGAAAATTAGTCAAAAAATGGCGCAACATGAAGAACGAAAGCGCAAATTAATCAAATAAAATATTCAATCGATGAGTTTCATATTGCAGAAAACTTTATTTTGATTATATATCAGTCAAGTTTGCAGCTAGTTGGCTTCTTTTCTCATTCGCATGCATTTTCTTATAATGTTGTTGGGCAATTAAAATGTTGTTTAATTCATAATAACATTCAATAAAACCCATCTATACACGTTACGACGATCTTAACGCCAACATTTTTCGATAAAAATCCTAGTTAAAGAATGAATAAAAGTAGAATTGTTCTACAAGCAGCGTGTCAAATGGAATAGAATGAATTCCATGTGCGCGTTATGCCTCGTGCACTTTCAATTTAATTTTTGAAAATGAACATTTATTTTCTTCTCCTTCTTTGCATTCGGCTCGCTCGTTTTTTATTGCAGCCCTGCAATGGCACGCTTATTCATCTGCTCTCTTCGCAGACCAGATAAATTTTCATCCCTTCTCGGAGTACTTAATGTTTTGCTCTGTTTAATGCTTGCAATGCTTTTAAACTTCTCGTTCCCGGATTTTTTTCATTTTGTGTGTGTCGCAACAAAAAATGCGTGCAAAAATTCATTAATTAATTTGTTTGTTTTTATTTACTATCACATGCTCGTTATATAATAGTTATTTATAAGTCTATTAAAAATAACATATAAACAAATAACTAATCAACTTGTAAAGACACATAAACGAAAAGAAACGAAACCGAAAGGCGTTTGCTCGGAAGTTGAGGGAAGATGGAAAATAACGCATGCTTCTGTGCTAGTGAGATATTGAGAAATGAGGAAGGCTGATAACCATCATCGTTGGACAGATAGCGACAATGAACGTCTGACTTCCAATCTTGAAATTTATAAAATATAATTATATAATCAAATATTGAAGAATAAAATAGCCTGAATTGATTGCTGGTTAGACATCAAAAAAGAACCAACATGGTTTTCACAGACGCAAGTATTTGTAAAGAGATTTCCGTTAAGCTTGGAGCAAAAATTAAAATTATTTTGTCCCACTATACATAAGTACTCACCATAATACTGAAAATAATTTAACAAATTTTTATACTCTATTTTTTATTTAATGGTGAAAAATTAATTTAAAATATCTAGGCGTGTGTTATGTTTAGACGTTATATTTACGCATGTTTGTTTGTTTGTTTGTGTGTGTGTGTGTCTGTGTCTGTGTTTGTGTGTATTTGTAGATCGAGCCGAAAAATCATACCAACCATTATTTTTCATAAGTAGCAAACACTGCATGCAACAAACTTTATAGATCGATAAATCACATTAATAGCAGGCATGACTGTTAAAGACATGCGCAAAAATTATTATTCAAAAAAGAACCACGAAAACTGAAGATTCAATAATTTGATTTTTTTTCTTAATTTTTAAAGTCTCAACCAACAATGCTTAGCAAAATGTTTTGTTAAAATTATTTTAAAAAATAATGATAATTTAAAAAGACATTTTCAAAACAAATAGTGAAGCTATCACACTACTGATAATAAATTATTAAATGCCTAATATTTCTACATCACGTTGTCAATAGCGATGGATTGAATGAGATGGAGGAGAGGCGGGCAAAATGTGATTGGTGTCAGCGAAACAGTGCACAATCATTCATTTCATCATTTGAATTGAAACGACACTGTCAAATTTGATGATGTTGGTTAACACTTGTGTCAACTGATAGTTGCAAGCAGTTGGAACGTGGCGTACATTTCGCACAGTTGAAAATTTATCTAAGATGAAGGTAAAAGTTAATTTTGTATAGAACACGCACACTGAATGCTAGGAGTCGACGTAAATAAAAACAATGAATGATGTATTTGATATAACGATGATGAAGTTTGGTTGACATTTTACAAATCCAATTCCAAAAGATTGTACCCATCTACGGTATCTACTATACAAACTTTTGCCAATGTGAATGCACTTGTTTTCAAATAGTTAATCACCATAATGTGATATGCAAACTTAAAATCACGAAATGTACCACAGCAAGATAGTGAATTTATTTCATTTCTCTGTGCTAGGTTGGTGTTGTTAGCGCGTTGTACCTACCTGCTAATAAATCATTGTGTGACATTATTGAAAAAATCATATTTTAAAACAAAAGTTTATAAGAAACAATATTTTTTTTTAAATTTCTTTCTTAAAATATCAAAATCAGAAATAAGGAGAAAAAGAAATCTTGAATCAGGAGAACCATTAGCGGCTTAAAACGTATGTTTTCCAACGCATGCGTGCCATGGTCGTGCCAGGTGGAAACATTTGGAAGCAGGTTCCAACGTTTCTATGAGAGTGCATACGTTCGCGTGTAAATACAAGTGTTTCAATTTTTTAAATATTGTTGTAAATGTGAATGTAAATTTATTAAAGCTAATTTTAGAACAAATGCTGTGAACAATTTCTACATAATAAATTACTTTATGACGATCGAGTGTTTTTTTTAGATATTTTTGAAATGTTTTCACACAAATGTATGCAGCCAGAATTGTAATATATTAAAAAAAGCACCAAGCAAGACATAAATCGTAAACAGGCATCAGATATCACAGGGATTGCTGGAGCAAGCATGCATTCATGCAGGCAGACATGCAAACCACCAAATCATCCACACAAACACATCCACCCATTCCACACAAACACATCCAAGTTCACATGCACACCTCTGCCATATAGAGGCATAAGCAGAAAGAAGGAGAGAAAGGCAGAGAACGACTAACACTGGATATGACACATCTTCTCTAGAGAGCAAAGTGTGCAGTTCAAATATCGGACAATAAATTAATAGAAGTGAAAAGAATAGTCATCAGATGTTATCAAGAAGTTGC